CATAGGAGCTGCTGCTGGATCACACTGGGTTGATGGCCTTTCTGGAATTGCACACTTCCCGGAGGTGGCCAGTGTTCCAAAAGTGGGCACTGGCAGTTCAGTGAAATACTTGCAGGCCACTTCAGAAGTGTCTTGACAGGAGTTCTTTAATAGCAGGGTTTGAGTTGCGTGGCTGTACCACCTGATGGCGTGTTTGTAAGACAATCCTGGCGTAGAAAGAGGGAGAAGCATACATATAGCTGATGTACGTACAGAAACTGTGGGAAAACCTGCAATTTTATGTTTTAAAAAGAACAATAGTACAATTGCAGTACCAAAGATTTGCACTGACTGTATAACTTGACTTGAGGGGTTGAGGTTTGCGCTTCATTCCTGGGTTTAACTTGGGACTTTTGCCAGTGCATTTCTGAGATTCTGGTTCACAGGAATGGTGAATTTCCACCTGGTGCTTTTCATTAAGATGGGGAATAGTGAAGAGCAGAATCAGAGCCAGTTGCAGCAGTGTCAGACGATTGAACAAGGCACCAACAAAAGTGAGCACCTACACTATAAACTTTGGTGTGTGTTTTTTTGTACCAAGCCTTTCGTTTTGTCAGAATGCATCTCTTGTAACTTCAATACTGGAAAGCATTCTGTGGTTACCAATCTTGTCGTACTCCTCTTCTTCCTCCTCCTCTTCATCTCGGTATTCCAGCGGTTCTTCCTCTCCCCCCCCCCCCCTTTGAGCAAAGGTCTGGGTCAACCAAAAAATCTACCTGCAAGACAGAAGTCACTGACTTGTTGTGCGGCCTGTCCTTTTAGCTTCCTCTGTCCCTATGTGTTCTGAGGTGTGCATCCTCAGAAAAGGTTGAGTGCTTTAAGTGAGACAAAAGTTCTTTGACAGCAGGGTGTAAATTGTGGAGGAGATTATACATTGAATGGTTTTGCACCATAGGCTGTATTTAGAAGTTTTGATTATCGTTTTGGTTTTCCTGATTATTCTGTTAGGGCTTCTGTCCACCCCCCCCCCATGTTTATTTCAAACGGCATTACTTATTGTGCCATGGAACTGTGTTTTTTCCATCTTTTACAAAAGAAATGGGGCTGCTGCAGTTGGAAAGATGACTTACTTGGTTATATGGCACAAATGGTTGGAGCCCCATGGTATTAAAGTTTAAGACACGCCTGCAAGGAGCACTCTGAATGTTCTGCCATTTGGTTGCAATCAAACTGCAGAATGTTTTCTCTTTCTCTGTCTCTATGTGTTCTGAGATGTGCATCCTCAGAAAAGGTTGAGCGTTTTAAGTGAGACAAAAGTTCTTTGATGGCAGGATGTTAATTGTGGAGGAGATTATACATTTTAGATAGATATTTTCCTTTAGGCTGGATGAGAGTTCCCTTTACTTTTGATATTTCTCCAGCAAACCCTATTTTCCTTGTCTTTCATTCAGTTGGAAGTATTGGGGCCAGTCTGTCAAATATATATGGATTTCAAAGTTCTTAATTTATTAATTTCCCCCTCTAATAACATTTTATATGTTGCCCAATTTCCCTTCATGTTTTTCTTCTTAACGCCAAAGGCTTCGATGGGTGAAATGCACCAAGGGGTTGTAGGTTCTAGGAGATATTTATATTTTATCCATGGTTTATATACGGTCTGAGTTGTGTGGCTGCATCTTCTGGTAAGGTGTTGGCAAGGGATTGAATCTGGGTGCAGAAAAGGAGAAAGGACACTTGTGTCGAGGGGTTTTGGAATTCCCAGCTGTGAGTAGAATGTGCTTGGGATTCTTCAAGTCCAGAATCTGGCTCTTGTGGATCACTTGCTGGCTGATTCCAGTGCTGCAAATGGTGTCATTGCACCTCCTGAAGGAGGCATTCCTGCCTGAGAGGAAGGGTGTGAACTGTGTGGCTATACCACCTGATTGCATGTTTGCAAGGGAATCAATTTTTGTGCAGAAAAGTGTTGAAAAGGACATTTGCCAGTGTTTAATGTGTTTATAAGCCAAACAGTCACCTTTGTTTAAACAAACACAAGTACAAAGTCAAAAGTAAAACCACAAAAATAATGAACCGCATGTTCATAACATACAAAAAATTGCCGCCTACTCAGTAGGTAACTACAACATTCCAACTGCTGAATATATTTATAAATTTTACACTTTTGTAACAAAAATAGACTTTTTGAGAAGTTCGGGGTTTTGTTTTGCTTTGTTTTGCTTTTTTGCTTACATTCTGTCTCCCGGCTCCTTTTCCCTTTTTCCTCTCTCTCTCTCTCTCTCTCTCTCTCTGTGTGTGTGTGTGTGTGTGTTTTCGAGCCTCAGAGTCCACTTTCCCTTTTTTCACCTTAAGACTAGATGCAAAGCATCCAATCGCAGAGTTGCATGACTCCAGCAGGGCTTCACAACAAGGCACCAAGACTTGGAACGTGTTTTGTTTTTTTGTTCTCAAAAAGAAAAACAACAAATCAAACCAAACGAAAACTTTTCGCCATGCGAGAGTGTTTCATCCTCTAGGTGATATTTACAAAGAACATCACACTCTGTTGACATGCTCAAATACATAGTTAAGTGCTGCTTTTGTTTGTTTGTTTGATTCCTCCCCCACCCCACCCCCACCCCCGAAACCAAATTGTAAAACCCGGTACAGCTTTGTCGTCACGAAAAGAGCGAAAATATACCATTTATACAAAAAAGAAAGAGCGCGTGCGAGAGAGATGGCCCTTCGTACTCCAAAGAATGCAATATGAATATGCAAAGAGGTTGTTCACATCAAGAACCCAGAAGGAAAGCAAAGCCATGGCACATAATACAATAGTACATTGTCTATGCATGGATTTTTTCCCCAAAGTCCCATTGCTCCCCCCTAAGGAATGAATTGCGGGCTGGGGGGAAATAATTGCGGAAGAAAAAAGACCTCTCTCGTCCATGCAGAACAAAAGTGGAGAGGAACTCCGGTGTCCAGGAGCTTGTGCCTTCAGGCAGTTGAAGTTGAAAGATAAGTCCCAACCCCAGCCCACCCCCCGGCTGCTGGAAAGCTGGGGGGCTGGGCTGGCTTGCGAGGGAGTCCACTGTTCCTCCACCAAGTGCCGGAGGAAGATTCGTTATTCGCACCTCACCCTCCCTAGATGGGGTGGGTGGGCATCGCCAAAGTCTTGGTGGTGGTTGCGTGTGTCCCCCCCCCCCTTTTCTCCTCTCAGCAGATCTTGATTGTCCTGGGCGAGAAAGTGGAGGCCATGTCAGAAAGTGCAGAAGTCACTTGCGAGCCGAAGGGGCTGCTGAGGCCCCTGGGGATGGGAACGGGGTAGCCGCCGCCTGGCTCTGGAAAGTGGAGGAGGCCATGGAAGCGTAGCTGGTGGCCACCAAGAGCGAGGGGAAGGGCGACGTCACAGGGGAGGCGTATGAAGTCACGGGAGAGGCATAGGATATCATGGGGGGAGAGTAGGAGGCCAGCCCCGGCGAAGGGTAAGAGGAGACGGAGGCGGGGGACGGGTAGGAGGCGGGCGAGGCGGAGTAGGGCGCCAGCGGGGAGGCGGCCACGGAAGGTGCAGTCGGGGTGCATTTGCCGGTGCCTTTTTGAGATGCAGTTTCACTAGAATGGTCACTTTTAACCTCGTGCTTTTCATAAATAAGGGGAATACTGAACAGTGAAATCAGAGCCTTTGAATAAGACACAAACGCAGGTGAACAGCCACATCCACACCAGAAACTTTAGTGAGTCCACAAAGTCATCCATTGGGAAGAGGCAGTTGAACTCCTAAACTGTGCTGTTGAAGGGGCCAAGCAGCATAAGGGTGTATCTTTGGACAAGCAACATCTTAATCTAAGTAACCCCTTAATGGGTAGCCAATCTAAGGGCTTTTCAAAAAGGGATTTTATCTTGGTGCAGAAAAGGAGTGATGAGTACATATAGCTTTGCTGCTTTCCAAGCAGAGCGCCCTCTCTGGCTGTTAGGACCCCCTCCTCTTTTTTGTTAATTAATCCCTAAATGAACCTTCCTAATGACTGTGCCTGATAAAGCACTGCCGTTCACTTCTCTCCTCTTGAAGCGTAAACTCTGCTGATGTATGTTGAGAAACTGCAGCAGAAATTGCAGTGTATATATATGTGTGTGTGTATATATATATTTATATATTTGGTTTTTTTAAAGAAACATAAGCTTAAGATTTATTATGCAAAAAGCTGTTATGAAAAGTTTTTTAAAAAAACACACACACCAAAGGAAGTAGAATTTATGGATGAAGAAATCAACCTTCCTGCCAAATAAGATGCATGTGTTCTCTCTATTAGAGTTCAGCAACAAAAACCATGAGGCAAAACAGCCCTAAGACACCTCAGTTTTCATGTTCTTGAAAGTCCCCTTCACCCCCAAAAAATTATGTTAAAAAACTATAATCCAAAATATACATAAAAGCTGCATATATGCAAAGTTGTGGTTTTTTTGTTTGTTTCCCTTTTTTCTGAGCAAATGACAGGCTAGTCCACATTTATCACAAGCTGATTCAATGTTGGAAGTGTGCGATTTCAGTAAGAAATCTCCTGACCAGTAAACTAGCATGAAGAATCTGAGTGTTCAGAGCTTTAACAATAATAAGAATAAGAATAAGAATAAGAATAAGAATCCGCCCAGTCTCACACACAAACCCCACAAAATTTCTTCTTGTGCAAAGTTTCTTCTTGTTTAATACAGCCATACGATAGTTATTAAAAAGTGGGATGCTTTCACTGCCCCCCCTCCCCGGCCTGCAAATTTTGTTTTCAGGCTGTTGGAAGAGAGTAACAGATTGAGGGTAGAAGGTTGTTTCTGGACGACCAGTCAAGGCATCTGAAACTGCCTGGCCAGACCCATGTTCTACAGTTTTATCTGGAAGAGAATGGTGGAGTTCTCTCCATTAATGGATGCACAGGGTTAAATATCTGACCCTTTCTCCTGTTCAGGTCTTTATTCTCTCTCTTCTTCTATCTCCTGTCTCACTGGAGAGGACCAAGTGCCAGGATCCCACACTTGCAGTCTGTTTTAAGAGGTTAGTGGCAGAGATTCCTCTCCTCTTTTGAGCAAAGTTCGGATGCCCGCTCTGCTGCTTTTAAAGAGAGTAGGGAAGTCTGAGCTGCGGGCGAATCTTGCCCCTTCTTTGCCTGTTCCTCTAGCATGATCTGCAGGTCAAAGATATAGTCGATTACATGCTGCAAGATTTCCACTTGGCTGACTTTGGTGCCTTGTGGGATCCTCGGCACCAGCTCGCGCAGCTTGGAGTAGCAGTCATTCATGTCGTAAAGGAGGTTCTTGGGCTCCTCCTGAGCCGGGCTCTGGTTTTTTTGTTTTGGCAAGACTCATGGCATTTTATTGAAGGCCTGTGCAGCAGGAGTCACTGGCCGAGGGGCTTCGTTCTGTTGTTCGTTCCCTGGGTGATGGTGAGGCTCTGATCAGAGAGCTTGCTTCCTAGCAGATCCTGACTGATCAGACGGGGCTGATTCCTTTCATGGCCATGAAGGAGGAGAAACCAGCAGGGATTTGCAGAAGGGCAAGATTTCCTTCCTTAAGGCGGGAGAAGCAAGCAAGCGACTTCGAGAGAGATCAATAGATACTGCCCCTTGCTTGCCAGCCTGGTTGATTCTCTATTGTGTGCACGCAGAAAATGCTTCTCTTTGCAAAAAAGCCCCATGTATATATTTTAAAAACAGAAATGCTACCTTTGCAGTAGCAAATATTTTCTGATCCTTTCCCCAGTCAAGGTCTTTTCTCTCTCTTCTTCTTCTATCTTCTGAACAACTGGAGAGGACCTATGGAATCTATGACGTGTGGCAAGATTTCCATGGCTGACTTTGGTGCCTTGCGTGTTAAGACCCCCAAGACCTCCCCAAATAAAGACACAATTGATGCCAAATTTAGTTTACGGTTATTGGCATAATTTTGGTCAGAATGAAAAATGAAGATAAATGTGCTTGGGATTCTTCAAGTCCAGAATCTGGCTCTTGTGAATCACTTGCTGGCTGATTCCAGTGGCTGCAAATGGTGTCATTGTACCTCCAAACGGAGGAATGCAAATGCACCCTCAGCAAATGTGGAGTGGTTGAAGTAACTGAACAGTTCAGTGCTGGCAGGGTTTGAGTTGTGTGGCTGCAGGTATCCGATGGGGTGTTTGCGAGGGATTCAGTCTGCTTGGAGAAAAGGAATGAGAAAGTACATGAAGATTGTGGAAAAACTTGGAATGTGTCATAATGTAAAGTACTAATATTGCCGTAGTAAAACAAGCCAAGCTAAGAAGAGTCACTCAGGATATTCAGGATTGAACCACACACCTTTGGTGGGACATCTTATCAGGATAGAGCCCTACCATGACCAACATTTTAAATTTGGCTTGGCACCCTGTGCTTATACTGGTTTTTGGTATTTTGATGTTGCTTATATTAATGTGTATTTTATATGCTAAAGTTAAACATTTGTATGGGGAAAAGGTATAGGTTTTTTCCTCAGAGAGGGAAGGAGGAACAGATTAGCTAAGCATGGAAGAGGTAACCGTGTTGGACCAAGGGTGGAGTTTATGGGCAATCTATCCGGAAGACATTTGTATTTCGAGGAGTTAGTGGTCTGACATGATTAATCTTCCTGCCTTCTCTTCCTTCTCCCTCTCGATCTCCTGAGCTGTGTATCAGGAGATTTTTAATGCTGGATGCTTTTAGATAAAGATGACGATTTATTACATATAGCTGCTGTGCATACAGAAAGCGTGCCAAAACTTGCAATGTTTATATTTTTAAAAGATGAATACTACAATCACAGTTGCAAACACTTTCTTTTTGCACTAAACATCTAATATTATAGTCCCTTGATGAAACCAAGTCACCCCATGATTTCTTAGACCAAAAAAAGCACTACAAAGCAACATTTGTAAGGGCAGCACAGAATTGACCAGGTGTGAAGGCTGGAACACTTACAAGTGGCGCACACAAAATGTAAGCCACAAAGAGCAACGTGAAGGTCTTTCCATGTGATGGCTACCTTTGTGCCGCAAGGTATAATGTGCATATTGGTTGGCATTCCAAACCATTCTTCTCCATGGCACGGCAAAGCCTGAGAAAGGCTTGCAATATCACAAAGATGGCTGGGCAGCCAAGTTAAAAAAACCACCACCACCAAGCCAGCAGCACCCCCTGTATGGCAATTATGTGTGCCAGCTCTCACGATTCCATTTCTCAGAAGCAGTCATTTGATGAATACAGTGCAAAGTTTCTGTGGTTTATGAGGCTTGTGCTGATCCGCTGCCTAGGCTTTAAGTTGTACTTCACTGGGTGGCAGCCTATGTAGTTTTCTGCCACATTGCCCCTCCTAGGCAGCATGGAAACCATGTGATTCGGCTTGGACCGGATGGCAGAGTAGTGGTTTGTAGCATAGTCTATGGACCTCAGGGATGTCAGTGAGCCCTTAGAGCTTGCCCGGGAGCACTGGGAAGACAGTGAAGAAAGCGACTGAGCACTAGATGAAGTTGAAGTGGCCTTCCTACAAATTTGTGGGGTTGAGGTTTGCTCTTCACCCTGGGGTTGTAGCTTGGACATTTGCTGAGGGGTCAAGAGGTGAGGAATTTGAGTCTGGTCCTTCTACAGGTTGGGAAGAAGGAGGTGGGAGGCTGTCCCCAATCTGAGAACAGGACAGCCTTCCTTCTCTTCCCTCCTTCTTCACCGCCCCCTTATAACATGCAATGAATCTTATGTCTTCCCTCCACAGCCTTTCCCAGTCATTTTGATATTTCTCCAGGAAACCCTATTTTTCTTGTCTTTCATTCAGTTGGAAGTATTGGATCTAGTCTGCCAAATATATATGGATTTCAAAGTGCTTAATTTATTAATGTTCATTAGATTCTGCAAATCATTAGATTCTGCAAATAGCAGGAGCATGAAGAATTTATTTTTTCCATTTCCGTTTAAAGCAATCTATAAATAAGGACATTCAATGAACCACCTCAAGAAGTCATTCAAATAAGTTTGCAGGCTGCATGCAGTTCCATGCTTTCTCTTGTTACTGTTTTTCTTTTTTAAAAAAATAATAATATCACAGAGCCCAAGAGGGAGTCTCAAGGAGGAAGTATCTCTTTGCTTCAGTTTCACGTTGACTCCTGAGTTGTTTGGTTCACACAAGTGCTTGTTCCAACGGCAGCTGCTTTGCACTGCAGATCTGGAAGACGGGATTTTGCTGTGCAACGCTTTTGTGGAAAGGTCACTTACTGGCAACATTCACTGGGCACTGAGAGAGATAAAAAGCTGCAATCCAGTGACCCCCTCGATGGTACGGTGGGGGGGGGACCCTGCTCACAGACCTGCACTGGATCCCACCATGCAGGGGTGAGGGAGAAAAAGGACAGAGCCATAGCACTCTGACTGGGGATCCTTGCCCAGGGAAAACGAGATGCCAAACTGCACCCACATCCAACGTCTGGGTTGACATTCACCAAGTACATCTTTCTGCATGCAAGCATTCTTGGATCCTGGCCTGTAGCTTTTTCGGCTAGTCCTTTATTTAGATATGGTGTGTGACTATGGTTTTGGGGGGGGGGGGCGAGGGTGTTCCACTTTTCTTTTCCCATGTGAAGCACAAAAAATAATAATATTTAACCATTTCCCCCCTACGTACATGTTGAAGTAGAATCGATAACTGGTTAGCGTATGTACAAAATCTTTACAGAATCCTATCTTGTAGCTTTAAAACATATAAATATGGATATTGTTCAAGACAGCAGGTCTCTCATTAATATTTTAATGAAGGCTTCATTATTGTATATTCTTCATTATTTTAACGACTGTCAGGTGCTCAGGGGGGGGGGGGCAAGACTCCTTCAGCAGGGACAGCTTGAGTTTATTTATAATTAGCTACTGACCTCCCTCCTGCCAGTCTCTTCTGCATCTTGCTTGGCCACAAGAATCCAATGTATTCCAAACAGATTTAAATCGTGATCTCTGGGAGAAGATGAAGAAGAAAAAGAAATCTTTCCGTGCTGTTTATTCCCCCCCCACCCCAACATTAATTAAAAAATAATAATTAAATCCTCCCTCAATTATTATTTTTTTTAAAAAAAGTTAAAAGAGATTTCTGATTAAATAATTCTGAGAAGAAAAGGTTTGATGCAGCCGCGTCTGGAAGGGTCAGAGTGAAGATGCTGGTGCAGGAGGTCAGCTGGTCCCGGTGGCTGATGGAGGTTCTGCTCCCTTTCTGCTGCTAAGCACGAAGTCCGTGGGGAGGCTCTCCAGAAGCCACTTGAGCTGTTCCTGCCCTAGCTTGATCTTGTCGTCCAGCTCGCGCTGTTCTATGAGCAGACCAGATTTCATCTTCACGAAATGCTGGTAGTCTCGAAGCTGCTCCCCCGAGAGGTAATTGCATAGGATGTCCAAGACCACGTGCTCTCACCGGTCCAGGTTCTCCTTCAGCTCGCGGGCGTCTTCATGCTGGCCAGTCAGCATCTTCCGCTTCTCGTTCAGAGAGCTCCGTTCTTGGTTATCAACATCCCCACTGTCACATGTCCCGCTCCGCTACCTATGGCGTGTGTCTCTTGCAGCTGATGGTGGCTGTCATTTGCATCCCCATAACAGCAACCCAACGGAGGATGTTGGCCCCCTCAATATTGGGGGCATTGAGCCCCCATGGCCAGGATTCAACCCAGAGGGGAATGCATTTTATTATCTGTGTTTTCCAATAATTATTGTAGCTTCCCCACCGCTATCGTCTCCACCAGTTTGCCCCAGATTTGGAGGGGGTGGTATTCACATTCCAATTTCTCCTCCATCTTTCTTCCGCTTCCCTCCCTTTTGAGAAAAGGTCTGGGTCATCTAAAAAATTTACTTGCAAGACAGAATTCACTGGCCTGTCCTTTTAGCTTCCACTGTCCCTTTGTGTTCTGAGGTGTGCATCCTCAGAAAAGGTTGAGTGCTTAAAGTGAGACAAAAGTTCTTTGATGGTAGGATGTGAATTGTGGAGGAGATTATACATTGAATGGTTTTGCGTGATAGGCTGTATTTAGAAGTGTTGATTATTGTTTTGGTTTTCCTGATTATTCTGTTAGGGCTTCTGTCCCCCCCCCCCCCATGTTTCTTTCAACCGGCATTACTTGTTGTGCCATGGAAAAGTGTTTTTTCCATGTTTTACAATGGAAATGGGGCTGCTGCAGTTGGAAAGATGCCTTACTTGGTCATATGGCACAAATGGTTGGAGCCCCATGGTATTAAAGTTGAAGACACGCCTGCAAGGAGCACTCTGAAGGTTCTGCCATTTGGGTGCAATCAAACGGCAGAATCTTTTAGCTTTCTCTGTCCCTATGTGTTCTGAGGTTTTGATATTTCTCCAGCAAACCCTATTTTCCTTGTCTTTCATTCAGTTGGAAGTATTGGAGCCAGCCTGTCAAATATATATGGATGTCAAAGTCCTTTCCTCTTAATTTATTAATTTCCCCCTCTAATAACATTTTATATGTTGCCCAATTTCCCTTCATGTTTTTCTTCTTAACGGCAAAGGCTTCAATGGGTGAAATGCACCAAAGGGTTGTAGGTTCTAGAAGATATTTATATTTTATCCTCGGATTATAGAAGGTCTGAGTTGTGTGGCTGCATCTTCTGGTAAGGTGTTGGCAAGGGATTGAATCGGGGTGCAGAAAAGGAGAAGGGACACTTGGGTTGAGGGGTTTGGGAATACCTGGCTGCGAGTAACACAGGTGCATCCTCCGCAAATTTGGTGTGCAGTAACTGAAAAGTTCATTAAGGGCAGGGGGTGAGCTGTGTGGCTGTACCACCTGATGACAAGTTTGGAAGGAAATCCATCTTGCAATAGAAGAGGGCTGAAGCATAGATATTGCTGATGTATGTAAAGAAACTGTGGAGAAACCTGCAATTTTTTATTTGAAAAGGAAAGATAGTACTTGAGCAGCAGGTATGAAGAGGAAAGCAGAAACTGGGAAATCCTGTAATTCGATTTACATAGTATAGAGGAAGGGGGTGGGATGGTGGGGGGCTGCTGAAACCACCCCTCTGCAAATTGCACCGATGATGAAGCCAGGAACTCGGCCTGCTTTTCTCCAGGCCTCATTAGCAGCAGCAGCAGCAGCAGAAGAAGAAGAAGAAGAAGGAAGGGATGGAGCAGCCAGCTCTTTGCTGCTTTCCAAGCAGAGCACCCTTTCTGGCTGTTAGAATCCTCTCCTCTTTTTTGTTAATTGATCCCTGAATGCACCTCCCTAATGACTGCGCCAGATGTAGCAGTGCCTTTCACTTCTCTTCTCTTGCAGAGAGAAGGAAAAATCCAATTTTTTTTTAATTTCAAAACCATTTTTTTTTACAAACATCAAATTCGAAATCCATATTCATTTTCTAACATAAGCCTATTGCATAGATTACCTAAATTAAAATATATCTAAATAATCTAGGCTTCCATTTGTTGTATGTAAATACAACACAATTAACAAATTATATTATAAATGATATTATAGGTTCCCATATACCCCCACTCCCCTTCACCCATGTGTGATCCCAATATTTTACTTCTTCCATCTTGCTGTGTTGTTATAATTTAATAATTATTCAATTGATTCTATTATTTTCTTGCTTACCCCTGCATGTTTTACACATTCTCTATTAATATTTGAATTCCGGGACCATATTTTTTGATTTATTCCTTCACTCCATCCCACTCTCTAATTAATCTTTGATTTGAGTGGCCTCTAATAATTGCCGTCAACTTTGCCGTTTCTACAAACTTGCCGATTTTGTTTTGCCATTCTGATAGTGATGGGATTTTCTCCCCCTTCCAGTTTTTTTGCAATCAATATTCTGGCTTGCAAACCCACGTATTACCCATGTGGTAGCGGTTTTTGTGATGAAGGCCATGAAAGCCAGGGAAAGACTTATGGATGACAATGTAAAGACCCCTTCATCGTCTGTTTAACTCGTTGCTCGTTTTCCCTCTCTTTCTATTTTGTGGGATGAAGGTTTTGTTGGCGTAGTATGTAATGAATTTTAATATTTTTTTTTTAACTATTGTTATGTTAATGTTTGTGTACAGGCATGGTCCTCACAATAAACGGATTTGATTTGATATTCTGGCAGCTGTTGTTGTGTAAAGGAATAGATTTTTCTTGTCTTTGGGGATGTCATTAGATATTTGGTCAAAAGCTTTCATGAGGTGATCTACAGCAGGGTTGGGCAGGATAATAGCCCAAAATCTTTTACAAAGGAAATGGGGCTGCTGCAGTTGGAAAGATGCCTTACTTGGTCATATGGCACAAATGGTTGGAGCCCCATGGTATTAAAGTTGAAGACACGCCTGCAAGGAGCACTCTGAAGGTTCTGCCATTTGGGTGCAATCAAACGGCAGAATCTTTTAGCTTTCTCTGTCCCTATGTGTTCTGAGGTTTTGATATTTCTCCAGCAAACCCTATTTTCCTTGTCTTTCATTCAGTTGGAAGTATTGGAGCCAGCCTGTCAAATATATATGGATGTCAAAGTCCTTTCCTCTTAATTTATTAATTTCCCCCTCTAATAACATTTTATATGTTGCCCAATTTCCCTCCATGTTCTTCTTCTTAACGGCAAATGCTTCAGTGGGTGAAATGCACCAAGGGGTTGTAGGTTCTAGAAGATATTTATATTTTATCCTCGGATTATAGAAGGTCTGAGTTGTGTGGCTGCATCTTCTGGTAAGGTGTTGGCAAGGGATTGAATCGGGGTGCAGAAAAGGAGAAGGGACACTTGGGTTGAGGGGTTTGGGAATACCTGGCTGCGAGTAACACAGGTGTATCCTCCGCAAATTTGGAGTGTGTGCAGTAACTGAAAGGTTCATTAAGGGCAGGGTGTGAGCTGTGTGGCTGTACCACCCGAAGGCATGTTTGGAACGGAATACATATTGGTGTAGGAAATGCTGAAGCATACATATTGCTGATGTATGTAAAGAAACTGTGGAGAAACCTGCAATTTTTTATTTGAAAAGGAAAGATAGTACTTGAGCAGCAGGTATGAAGAGGAAAGCAGAAACTGTGGGAAATCCTGTAATTCTATTTACATAGTATAGAGGAAGGGGGTGGGATGGTGGGGGGCTGCTGAAACCACCCCTCTGCAAATTGCACCGATGATGAAGCCAGGAACTCGGCCTGCTTTTCTCCAGGCCTCATTAGCAGCAGCAGCAGCAGCAGCAGCAGCAGCAGCAGCAGAAGCAGAAGAAGAAGAAGAAGAAGAAGGAAGGGATGGAGCAGCCAGCTCTTTGCTGCTTTCCAAGCAGAGCACCCTTTCTGGCTGTTAGAATCCTCTCCTCTTTTTTGTTAATTGATCCCTGAATGCACCTCCCTAATGACTGCGCCAGATGTAGCAGTGCCTTTCACTTCTCTTCTCTTGCAGAGAGAAGGAAAAATCCAATTTTTTTTAAATTTCAAAACCATTTTTTTTTACAAACATCAAATTCAAAATCCATATTCGTTTTCTAACATAAGCCTGTTACATAGATTACCTAAATTAAAATATATCTAATTGCTCTAGGCTTTCCTTTGCTGTATGTAAATATAATGCAATTAACAAATTATATTATAAATGATATTATAGGTTCCCATATACCCCCACTCCCCTTCACCCATGTGTGATCCCAATATTTTACTTCTTCCATCTTGTTGTGTTGTTATAATTTAATAATTATTCAATTGATTCTATTATTTTCTTGCTTACCCCTGCATGTTTTACACATTCTCTATTAATATTTGAATTCCGGGACCATATTTTTTGATTTATTCCTCCACTCCATCCCACTCTCTAATTATTCTCTGATTTGAGTGGCCTCTAATAATTGCCGTCAATTTTGCCGTTTCTACAAACTCGCCGAGTTTGTTTTGCCATTCTGATACTGATGGAATTTTCCCTCCCTTCAGTTTTTTTGCAATCAATATTCTGGCAGCTGTTGTTGTGTAAAGGAATAGATTTTTCTTGTCTTTGGGGATGTCATTAGATATTTGGCCAAAAGCTTTCATGAGGTGATCTACAGCAGGGTTGGGCAGGATAATAGCCCAAAATCTTTTACAAAGGAAATGGGGCTGCTGCAGTTGGAAAGATGCCTTGCTTGGTCATATGGCACAAATGGTTGGAGCCCCATGGTATTAAAGTTGAAGACACGCCTGCAAGGAGCACTCTGAAGGTTCTGCCATTTGGGTGCAATCAAATGGCAGAATCTTTTAGCTTTCTCTGTCCCTATGTGTTCTGAGGTTTTGATATTTCTCCAGCAAACCCTATTTTCCTTGTCTTTCATTCAGTTGGAAGTATTGGAGCCAGCCTGTCAAATATATATGGATTTCAAAGTCCTTTCCTCTTAATTTATTAATTTCCCCCTCTAATAACATTTTATATGTTGCCCAATTTCCCTCCATGTTCTTCTTCTTAACGGCAAATGCTTCAATGGGTGAAATGCACCAAGGGGTTGTAGGTTCTAGAAGATATTTATATTTTATCCTCGGATTATAGAAGGTCTGAGTTGTGTGGCTGCGTCTTCTGGTAAGGTGTTGGCAAGGGATTGAATCGGGGTGCAGAAAAGGAGAAGGGACACTTGGGTTGAGGGGTTTGGGAATACCTGGCTGCGAGTAACACAGGTGTATCCTCTGCAAATTTGGAGTGTGTGCAGTAACTGAAAAGTTCATTAAGGGCAGGGGGTGAGCTGTGTGGCTGTACCACCTGATGACAAGTTTGGAAGGAAATCCATCTTGCAATAGAAGAGGGCTGAAGCATAGATATTGCTGATGTATGTAAAGAAACTGTGGAGAAACCTGCAATTTTTTATTTGAAAAGGAAAGATAGTACTTGAGCAGCAGGTATGAAGAGGAAAGCAGAAACTGTGGGAAATCCTGTAATTCTATTTACATAGTATAGAGGAAGGGGGTGGGATGGTGGGGGGCTGCTGAAACCACCCCTCTGCAAATGGCACCGATGATGAAGCCAGGAACTCGGCCTGCTTTTCTCCAGGCCTCATTAGCAGCAGCAGCAGCAGCAGCAGAAGCAGAAGAAGAAGAAGAAGAAGAAGAAGAAGGAAGGGATGGAGCAGCCAGCTCTTTGCTGCTTTCCAAGCAGAGCACCCTTTCTGGCTGTTAGAATCCTCTCCTCTTTTTTGTTAATTGATCCCTGAATGCACCTCCCTAATGACTGCGCCAGATGTAGCAGTGCCTTTCACTTCTCTTCTCTTGCAGAGAGAATGAAAAATCCAATTTTTTTTTAATTTCAAAACCATTTTTTTTTACAAACATCAAATTCAAAATCCATATTCATTTTCTAACATAAGCCTATTACATAGATTACCTAAATTAAAATATATCTAAATAATCTAGGCTTCCATTTGTTGTATGTAAATACAACACAATTAACAAATTATATTATAAATGATATTATAGGTTCCCATATACCCCACTCCCCTTCACCCATGTGTGATCCCAATATTTTACTTCTTCCATCTTGTTGTGTTGTTATAATTTAATAATTATTCAATTGATTCTATTATTTTCTTGCTTACCCCTGCATGTTTTACACATTCTCTATTAATATTTGAATTCCGGGACCATATTTTTTGATTTATTCCTCCACTCCATCCCACTCTCTAATTATTCTCTGATTTGAGTGGCCTCTAATAATTGCCGTCAATTTTGCCGTTTCTACAAACTCGCCGAGTTTGTTTTGCCATTCTGATAGTGATGGGATTTTCTCCCCCTTCCAGTTTTTTTGCAATCAATATTCTGGCAGCTGTTGTTGTGTAAAGGAATAGATTTTTCTTGTCTTTGGGGATGTCATTAGATATTTGGCCAAAAGCTTTCATGAGGTGATCTACAGCAGGGTTGGGCAGGATAATAGCCCAAAATCTTTTACAAAGGAAATGGGGCTGCTGCAGTTGGAAAGATGCCTTACTTGGTCATATGGCACAAATGGTTGGAGCCCCATGGTATTAAAGTTGAAGACACGCCTGCAAGGAGCATTCTGAAGGTTCTGCCATTTGGGTGCAATCAAACGGCAGAATCTTTTAGCTTTCTCTGTCCCTATGTGTTCTGACGTTTTGATATTTCTCCAGCAAACCCTATTTTCCTTGTCTTTCATTCAGTTGGAAGTATTGGAGCCAGCCTGTCAAATATATATGGATGTCAAAGTCCTTTCCTCTTAATTTATTAATTTCCCCCTCTAATAACATTTTATATGTTGCCCAAATTCCCTTCATGTTTTTCTTCTTAACGGCAAAGGCTTCAATGGGTGAAATGCACCAAGGGGTTGTAGGTTCTAGAAGATATTTATATTTTATCCTCGGATTATAGAAGGTCTGAGTTGTGTGGCTGCATCTTCTGGTAAGGTGTTGGCAAGGGATTGAATCGGGGTGCAGAAAAGGAGAAGGGACACTTGGGTTGAGGGGTTTGGGAATACCTGGCTGCGAGTAACACAGGTGTATCCTCCGCAAATTTGGAGTGTGTGCAGTAACTGAAAGGTTCATTAAGGGCAGGGGGTGAGCTGTGTGGCTGTACCACCTGAAGGCATGTTTGGAACGGAATACATATTGGTGTAGGAAATGCTGAAGCATACATATTGCTGATGTATGTAAAGAAACTGTGGAGAAACCTGCAATTTTTTATTTGAAAAGGAAAGATAGTACTTGAGCAGCAGGTATGAAGAGGAAAGCAGAAACTGTGGGAAATCCTGTAATTCTATTTACATAGTATAGAGGAAGGGGGTGGGATGGTGGGGGGCTGCTGAAACCACCCCTCTGCAAATTGCACCGATGATGAAGCCAGGAACTCGGCCTGCTTTTCTCCAGGCCTCATTAGCAGCAGCAGCAGCAGCAGCAGCAGAAGAAGAAGAAGAAGAAGAAGAAGGAAGGGATGGAGCAGCCAGCTCTTTGCTGCTTTCCAAGCAGAGCACCCTTTCTGGCTGTTAGAATCCTCTCCTCTTTTTTGTTAATTGATCCCTGAATGCACCTCCCTAATGACTGCGCCAGATGTAGCAGTGCCTTTCACTTCTCTTCTCTTGCAGAGAGAAGGAAAAATCCAATTTTTTTTAAATTTCAAAACCATTTTTTTTTACAAACATCAAATTCAAAATCCATATTCATTTTCTAACATAAGCCTATTGCATAGATTACCTAAATTAAAATATATCTAAATAATCTAGGCTTCCATTTGTTGTATGTAAATACAACACAATTAACAAATTATATTATAAATGATATTATAGGTTCCCATATACCCCCACTCCCCTTCACCCATGTGTGATCCCAATATTTTACTTCTTCCATCTTGTTGTGTTGTTATAATTTAATAATTATTCAATTGATTCTATTATTTTCTTGCTTACCCCTGCATGTTTTACACATTCTCTATTAATATTTGAATTCCGGGACCATATTTTTTGATTTATTCCTTCACTCCATCCCACTCTCTAATTAATCTTTGATTTGAGTGGCCTCTAATAATTGCCGTCAACTTTGCCGTTTCTACAAACTTGCCGATTTTGTTTTGCCATTCTGATAGTGATGGGATTTTCTCCCCCTTCCAGTTTTTTTGCAATCAATATTCTGGCAGCTGTTGTTGTGTAAAGGAATAGATTTTTCTTGTCTTTGGGGATGTCATTAGATATTTGGCCAAAAGCTTTCATGAGGTGATCTACAGCAGGGTTGGGCAGGATAATAGCCCAAAATCTTTACAAAGGAAATGGGGCTGCTGCAGTTGGAAAGATGCCTTACTTGGTCATATGGCACAAATGGTTGGAGCCCCATGGTATTAAAGTTGAAGACACGCCTGCAAGGAGCACTCTGAAGGTTCTGCCATTTGGGTGCAATCAAACGGCAGAATCTTTAGCTTTCTCTGTCCCTATGTGTTCTGAGGTTTTGATATTTCTCCAGCAAACCCTATTTTCCTTGTCTTTCATTCAGTTGGAAGTATTGGAGCCAGCCTGTCAAATATATATGGATGTCAAAGTCCTTTCCTCTTAATTTATTAATTTCCCCTCTAATAACATTTTATATGTTGCCCAATTTCCCTCCATGTTCTTCTTCTTAACGGCAAATGCTTCAGTGGGTGAAATGCACCAAGGGGTTGTAGGTTCTAGAAGATATTTATATTTTATCCTCGGATTATAGAAGGTCTGAGTTGTGTGGCTGCATCTTCTGGTAAGGTGTTGGCAAGGGATTGAATCGGGGTGCAGAAAAGGAGAAGGGACACTTGGGTTGAGGGGTTTGGGAATACCTGGCTGCGAGTAACACAGGTGTATCCTCTGCAAATTTGGAGTGTGTGCAGTAACTGAAAAGTTCATTAAGGTCAGGGTGTGAGCTGTGTGGCTGTACCACCCGAAGGCATGTTTGGAACGGAATACATATTGGTGTAGGAAATGCTGAAGCATACATATTGCTGATGTATGTAAAGAAACTGTGGAGAAACCTGCAATTTTTTATTTGAAAAGGAAAGATAGTACTTGAGCAGCAGGTATGAAGAGGAAAGCAGAAACTGTGGGAAATCCTGTAATTCTATTTACATAGTATAGAGGAAGGGGGTGGGATGGTGGGGGGCTGCTGAAACCACCCCTCTGCAAATTGCACCGATGATGAAGCCAGGAACTCGGCCTGCTTTTCTCCAGGCCTCATTAGCAGCAGCAGCAGCAGCAGCAGCAGCAGCAGCAGCAGAAGAAGAAGAAGAAGAAGAAGAAGAAGAAGGAAGGGATGGAGCAGCCAGCTCTTTGCTGCTTTCCAAGCAGAGCACCCTTTCTGGCTGTTAGAATCCTCTCCTCTTTTTTGTTAATTGATCCCTGAATGCACCTCCCTAATGACTGCGCCAGATGTAGCAGTGCCTTTCACTTCTCTCCTCTTGCAGAGAGAATGTAAATTCCAGATAAATGTGCTTGGAATTCTTCAAGTCCAGAATCTGGCTCTTGTGGATCACTTGCTGGCTGATTCCAGTGGCTGCAAATGGTTTCTTTTTCTTTTTTTAATTTTTATTTCAAAACCAAAAAATATTACAAACATGCAATTCAAAATCCATACTCATTTTATAACACAAGCCTATTACATAGATTACCTAAATTAAAATATATCTAATTGCTCTAGGCTTCCCTTTGCTCTGTGTAAATACAACAAAATTAACAAATTATATTATAAATGATATTATAGGTTCCCATATACCCCCACTCCCCTTCACCCATGTGTGATCTCAATATTTTACTTCTTCCATCTTGTTGTGTTGTTATAATTTAATAATTATTCAGTTGCGTCTATTATTATTTTCTTGCTTACCCCTGCACGTTTTACACATTCTCTATTAATATTTCAATTCCGGAACCATATTTTTCATTTTCCTTCACTCCATCCCACTTTCTAATTATTCTCTGGTTTGAGTGGCCTCTAATAATTGCCGTCAATTTTGACATTTCTACAAACTCGCCGAGTTTGTTTTGCCATTCTAATAGTGATGGGATATTCTGGCAGCTGCTGTTGTGTAAAGGAATAGATTTTTCTTGTCTTTGGGGATGTCATTAGATATTAGGCTGAAAGATTTCATGAGGTGATCTACAGCAGGGTTGGGCAGAATAATAGCCCAAATACCTAGAAACATAATCAATTATCACACAAATATATTGCTTCCCAGTACAGGTTTTAATAGTTTTGTGCCATAGACTGTATTCAGATGTGGTGATTATTGCTTTGGTTTTCCTGATTATTCTGTTAGGGCTTCTGTTATTTTTTCCAATGTTTCTTTTGGGTAGCCAATCTAAGGGCTTTTCGAAAAGGGATTTGATCTTGGTGCAGAAAAGGAGTGATGAGTACATATAGCTTTGCTGCTTTCCAAGCAGAGCGCCCTCTCTGGCTGTTAGGACTCCCTCCTCTTTTTTTGTTAATTAATCCCTAAATGAACCTCTCTAATGATTGTGCCTGATGAAGCACTGCATCTTTCTTCTCTCCTTTTGCAGACAGAATGAAAATCCAAATAGATGTTTTTCTTTTTCTTGGTTTTTTTGGATGTGAAAAATAACTTTATTTTCAAGCCCCACTGAATGAAGAAATCATAATAACTATTGATAGGGATCATACAGACCAGCATACATTGTCCATTGGAAAGACGACTAGAGGTCTC